TTGGATTCTTATACCTTCGGCTCCTTAGAGTAGAGCAGGTTTACAGTTTCAATTTGAGAGCTGGAAAAGCCTGTGGAGAAAGTAAAGCTGTACATCGCAATCCCGCAATCCAGATTCTGATTTTAAATGAGATTACCACTGCTGAACAAAGAGAAATGGCTAAATCTGGAGAGAGGTGAGGAGCAGTAGAAGGCAGTGAATGCCCCCTTAAAGGACAAAGCTACATGACCACAGGACCAGACAGTGTAAACAGCTCCTGCAGGGGGAAACAAAATGCTTCTTCCACTAAATGCAGCACACGGCCGCAGCCACAAGACTGAAGTCTCAGCAAGGGTACACCAAATAAACACAAATATGCTCAGAAGAGAACAGGAGCAGGAGTTACTGTTCATTAATACAGAAAATGAAACTGTCAGATCTTTTCCAAGTGGGTTCCTGAAGGAAAACACAATCCCTCAAAACAGAAGCACAGGTGGATAAATTTTGGTGGCATGAGGACAGGAGCCAGCGCTAAGGAGAAAAAACTCTTGAGTGTGGCCAGGTGGAAAGCTCAAGGGGGAAGAGAGCAATGAGTGAAAGGGGACAGTGCAGAGCAGGTTACAGAATGCACCCGACCTCCAGATGCACCTTGAACAGGTCTGCTCTTACAATGAATCACCACCTTCCTAACGGGGTTCAGCATGGCTACCCTGAACAGCCAGCCCTGATGGTCAGCCCGCCACATCTGCGAGTTCCACAGCTACATCAACTAGCCAAGGACTACAGAATGATAAAACCTGCATCCGTACTGAACATACACAGCTGTTTATGTTGTCATTACCCCCTAAACAATAAAGTATAGCCATTATTTATATAACATTTACATTGCTTGAGGTATTATAAGTAACCTAGAAATGATATAACATATATGGGAGGGTGTGTGCAGGTTCTGTGCAAATACGCTCTTTTATTAGGAGCGTCTGGGGGTTTTGGTATCCACAGAGGATTCCAGAAACAACTTGCCATGAGCGCCAAGGGACAGCTATATTTCCTTTCTACAAACATCCCCATGCCTTTGCCTTACGGCAGACAGTGCTCATAGCCTGCTCTGTTTTCCTTGTCTCTGATAGTCAAAGTCAGGTAGAAATCCTCAGCCTTCCTCCCTGAACAGCACTGCCATATTCACTCTGAGAAAGCGCAGAACAAAATTCTGTCCCTAACCTCACCACGGCCAGGAAAGCAACTGTTTGGCTACTCCCAGAAGAGGGCCAGCCTCAAGAGTGGTGACTATGAAAAAGGGTCTGAGACCAGCAGAAGGTGCTTTCCTGCTACCCAGGGTCTGCCATGGCGGCAGCAGTGGTGACAGGTATCTCCCAATCACACATCCCAGGAATCACAGAAACAACACATTCAAAGTGCTTCTGAGATCTCCTCAGTCCTTTCCACACCACAAGAAGAAACACTGCAAACTTAACCATACTTAAAGAGAATGTGGCAGTGTCTGGAACCAGCGCGGCACCGACACGTGTATTTAATGGTTAATGAGTTGTTAGTCAAATGAGTGAATGAGTGAAATATTAAGTGTTTTGTGCTTTTTTGCACCTAGGTACAGGTTTCTTATTTATCTTTCTCTCTCTGTATTTGCCTCCTGGCCTATGTTACCAAATGCCTATGTTCTCCAGTCTTTATCATCTACATCAAATAGAAGCATTGATGATAACTTCTGTGGCTGGCGGAGATGGCTCACCTCATAATCCCTCTTACTGAAGAGGCTGAGGCAAGAGGATCATATGTTCAACACCAACCTGGGCAACTTAGCGAGGCTGAATCTTTAAATAAAAAAGGACATATATATAGCTCAGTGCTACAGTGCTTGCCCAGCATGCATGAGGCCCCGAGTTCAATCCCCAGTGACACACACACACACACACACACACACGCACACACACACTTCTGTGGGTGACATCAGTAAATGCCAACAATACAGTCACAAGCGCTTGCTGTTTCTCTAGATTAGAATGTTACAGCTAAGACGCTGAGCGTCTACTGGACGCTCACTCTTCAGCTGGTCTGAGTTTCTACTTTCAGAACAGCTATATTCACTCCCACTCTCAGATGTAGGAGCCCGGAAGAGTGCATGTCCAGGAGCCCAGACCACTGACTCCCATCACAACCTGTACCCTTTAATCTCTTCAACCCCCCAGCTGTTCAAGGCTCCCCCAGGGCAGCCCTGAGATTCACGGCCTCCTTCTGAAAACACCTCCAAGGGTTTCCAATTCACACCCTCATGCCCGTGATTGACAGCACACTTACAAAGCACACCAGGAGAATGCACAGGTGAAACATGGGGTTGGCGCCCTTGACTGCTCCAATTTTCCTTTCTTCTTCCACACAATCCCACACTCTTCCTGCTCCTTTAAATCCTACTGCTCTACAACCTTTTCAGCAATCTTTCAGGCCCTTAATCATCTACACGGCTGGGGGTGTAGCTCAGGATTATAGCGCTAGCATTCAGAAGGCCCTGGGCTTGATCCCCAGAACTACAAACAAGAACAACAACCACCGACTGCCTGAGGAGCAAGCTAGCTTTCTTGCCTCCTGAAATCCTTATCCTAGATTACTTGCACACCTTAATGCTCTTCTTAAGGGGATTTCCTGCTTTAACCACATACGTAGGGTCTGCATACTCTAGAGTATTTGTTTCCAGTTGTCTGTTGGGAGCTGGACAGCTCACAACAGCGTGTACAGGAGCTGGCACAGACAAGGATAAAAGGTGAGGCTCGACGTGTTGGGGCCACAGTGCAGTAATAAACAGCTCACAGGTCTCCTGTGGGGGCGGGGACAGAGATGGCACAGGACAGGGCCAGTTCTCCAGAAGACTTGGGGTTGGAGGGGTGGAGTTTCTGACCCAGCCACAAGAAAATGGGCACTTCCCAGGCAAGGGAACAGCACACAGAAGACGGCAAAAACTGAAGGAGGTAAGGCTTCAGGATTAGGTAATGCCACGTTAGTTAGTGGGACATCCCAGACACATCCACGGACCTTTTGAGAAATCCCATGTGTATGACTATAACTCCATCACGCAGTGAAAGGCTCAAAGCCAGGAGGCAGGAGACCTACTGGTAGTTCCTGTGAGACTAGCATCCTGTCAAGGGAGGTGGGTGGACCAGGCCAGACCAGGATCCACGCGTAGGCTGGGAAACACGTTTAATATTCAGAACCGGCATTATTTTTTTTTTTTAAGTGAAATAAAACAGAACACATTCTGCTGTGTCAAGTGCTCCCTGAAAAAATACTGTTTTGTGCAACATGTGCTTCACACATAAGGACAAAGATGAGATATGCAAGTGTTTGATCAAGATGTAAAATGAGTTTCATGCTGTGGGGGGTGAACACAGTCAAAAGAATTTGAAATGCACAGGACAAGAAGATTTGCGAGATTTTTTTCAAATTTGAAGATTCTCACTTAGTCACCTATTTTAGATATGACTGTAATGTTACATGAAAGGTTAGGCAAAATTTAGAAATATCATCAGTTCAAAATTCACCATTACCCAAAATAGTGCCTCTCAGTTCACCCAAATATCACACAAGTCTGCAAGAACTAACTACGTCTCACGTACATGCCAGCATATTCCAGGCAAAGAGTCAGCCTTGGGAAAAGCTCTCCTGGTCATGTAGACATGCACACACAGAAGACTGTCTATCATCCAGAAAATTTTACATAAGATATTCCTCAAGGTAGGACTTAGATGTTTCCTTTTAAAAAGTTCTTAAGTCAACCTTATTTTTAGTACCCACACCAACAGCAAATTCTAACAATCTACTGATTGTGTGTGGCATATACTTTTGACATGCTCTCCTAAACAGGTGGCTACTTGTGGGTTCTGACTCAAAACCCGCATATGATACAGTCTCGCCTGCCTGTGTTCCAACTGAGGGCAGGTCTGTGGAGCTTCCTAACAGGAATAAGCAACAGATACTGGATACTACGTGCTTTCCCACTGGCCACACCACGTCCACAACAAGCCACGAGAAACTTATGACACTGGTATGGACACAAAGAGAAACAAGACCACTAACATGGACATGTGCATGAGCGGAACAGAGACGCAGGTAAAGGCTTCATGAAGGTGTGGCAACGATGAAGGCTACTGTGCTCATCCTAGGGAATCTTTCTGCAGAAATTTGTCTACTCCTAGAGGTGACCTCGAGTATTTCCACTGCTCTGAAACAGGTGGGAAAGGTTAGAACCCAGGAAGAGCACAAACAGGCGCCCTGCCCTGCCCTGCCCTGCCTTGCCCTGCCCACAGCGACTTTTCTTTCAAGTTCAAAGTAAAACTTCCAAGTTTTTGTTTGCTTGTTTTACCAGGCCGACTGCATCCCCTAAAACCAGCCTCCAAACTGCACCAGGTGTGGAAAAGGGCCTTGCCAAACACTTCCCAGTTCTTCTCTGAAGGCTAATTCAAGGTCAAGAGTCCTCAGCCCCTGGATGATCGTGCTGGGCTGTTGCTCCCAGGCCTTCTGAGGTGCCGGGCCACCAGCTAACTTCCTGCCCACTACACTAGGAGGCAAACCCCACCCTACCTTCCAGCTGCCTCCTAGGCTGCCCAGACACTGCCCGGGGCACCCTGCGGCCAGAAAGTCGGGTAGAGGTCATCCCGCCTGCCCCCTGTTTTCACAGAGCAGGAAACAGAGGTCCAGGGACGCTTGGGTCGTGCCCAAGGTCACTTCTGTCCGAGGATCGCCGGCCTCTGGTGGCCAGCTCAACAAGCTAAGCACGATCCAAGTTACAGTTAAGCACCCCCACGTCGCCAACTGCGGTGACCTGAGTCACAAAGACCAAGCGGGTGGCCACAGCCCTCCAGGCTGGGCTCTGCGGGCCGCGGGGACTGCGCGATTCTGGAGAAGGTGGCAGCCGACCTGGCAGGGCTGGCGACCCAACACGATCGCCCGACCCCCGGGCGTCCCCGCCGCTGGCCCGCGCTCCCGGCCCGACCCGGCCCTCCCCGTCCGCTCACCGCGTGCGCAGCGCCTGCCAGGCGGCGTCGATGTCGGCGTACAGGTTCTTCTCCGAGGGCCGCCCCGAGCTGACGCCGTAGCCGGAGTAGTCGTAGGAGAAGACGTTGCAGTTGATGCGCGAGCCCAGGCCGATGTAGAAGCTGCACATCTGGCCCAGGTCCACGGCGTTGCCGTGCGAGAAGAGCAGCGTGTAGCGGCCGGCGGGCGCGCAGCGCACGAACATGCAGCCCAGCCGGTTGTCGCGCGCCGTGCGCGAGAAGAAGACCTCGACCGCGTCCAGCTCGCGCTGCGAGTACTGCCAGTCGGCGCGCTCGCTCAGCCGCAGGCTGCACGCGCCCGGGTCCGGGGCCTCGGGGGGCGGCTGGGCCGCGCTCGCGCCGGAGTCTGGGGCCGGATCGGGGTTCGGGCCCGGGTCCGGGTCCGGCGCGCGGCGCTGCTCGGGCGCCAGCACAGTGTAGGTGGGCTCGGGCGGCAGGAAGGCCAGTTTGGCGGCGATGCGGCTGGGGCAGGGCGGGCAGCAGAAGAGCCAGCAGAGCTCGCCCAGCGAGAAGCCGTTCATCCTGGGGCCGGGCTCGGGCATCGGGGCGGCGGCGCCCGCCGGCGGCCGGGGCGCG